ATGGCATCTCGGAGATTACAAAACTCAGGCAAACCGCGGACAGAACCGACTGCTGCCCGAGCAGTAAGAGGAGGAAAGTCATGAAGACACGCACGTCTGCCGTGCAGAGGTAACAGAACAGGTTTTACTCAGCGGCATACTACACTTAATTCCAATAAGAACTCCGACGCCACCAGAATAACAAGCACAACACAGCTCGTGGACTTTCTACAAACTCTGGAGCCTCCCTGCAAGCGCCGAGCTCCTGGAGCTGTTCCCGGCGCCCGGCTGGGTGTGCAGCACGCAGCGCTCGAACGCTCGGCAGGCTTTTACAGCGACTTTCCTATTGCCCACGGCAGCCGCTTGCCAACTGAGGCGTAACTATACGTATATCTATATATAGCCTTGTGTTTATTTAACTATTCAAGCATATCTCAGCACGTTTAGTTAAGCTGAATCACCCAACGCCTGCCGCTCTCCGGTATCGCTGCGGCGCTCGGTCCCGCAGCGGAAGGCTGCACACACACACACACAGACACACGCGGACCCTCAGACTGACACAGACAGACAGACAGACAGGGTCGGGGTAGCCGCCGCAGATCCCGTAAGATCAGCCAAGCGCCGCTGGGGCTCGGGCCTGCAGCAGCCGCAGCCGCGCCCGCCCCACACCGAACCGGCAGCGCCGAACCGCGTCACGAGCGCGGGGCCGAGCGGCCCCGCCAGGCACCGCTGCGGGCAGGACAGGGCAGGGCAGGGCAGGACAGGACAAAGCGGAGCGGAGCAGCCTGGCGCCGCCGCCGCCCCCCGCAGGCTCGAGCGGCCCCGCCCGCCCTCACCAGCTGGTAGGCGCTGTTGTTGTCCCCCTCCGCCATCTTGCGCCGCTCCCGCACCGCCGGCCACGCCCTCCCTCACCGCGCCGCGCCGCCGCCTTTTATAGCCTCCGCGGGCCGCCTGAGCGCCGTGATTGGTCAGCCGCGGCGCCCCGCCGGCCGCCGGTTGGCTGCCGGGATTCGAAGGGCGCGGGGCGTGCGCGCGGCCCGCTGGCGCGCCGCAGTGCGGCTGAGGCGGCGCCGGGAGGGGCGGCGGGCCGGGGAGAGGGGGCGGCGGAGCTGGGCTGGAAAACAGCCGAGTCCAGCCTGCGACCGAGCACCGCCGAGTGCTGAGCGACACACATCACATCTTGCCCTAAAACACCTCCAGGGATTGTGACTCTGCCACCTCCTTGTGCCGCCCGTTGTAATATCACTCTCTGAAGAAATTCTTAATGTCCGAACTAAACCTCCCTAGGCTCAGCTTAAGGCTCTGTCCCCTTGTCCTGTCCCTCTTTTCCTGGGAGCAGAGCCCGACGCCCAGCCGGCTCCAGCCCGCTTTGAGCAGCTCTGAGGTCACCCCCGTGTCCCGAATGAACACGCCCGGCTCCCTCAGCTGCGGCTCCTCAGCCGTGCTCCAGCCCTGCCCCAGCTCCATACCCTGCTCTGAATCCTCTCCAGCCCTGCCCCAAGCTCCATACCCTGCTCTGAATCCTCTCCAGCCCTGCCC